GGGTGATATGATGTGACATGAGACGAGACAGAAGAATATAGTAGTCCTTTTTGAATATCAACATATTTGTCCCAATGGGAAACAATTGATTTCATTGCTTTCAATGTACTAATTTTATATGTATTTTTTCTATTATACTTCAACTCATAATTAGAGGCTTCATATAATAGATGAAGTGAAGCTTGATTAGAGTCTGGGGCCTGGATGACGTAGACTACAAAGTTTATTCAGAGTGAGACTTGAAAGTAGAGTGAGTCTGATTTGTTTGATGAACAAGCATATACTTTGAATATCCAAAAAATCATTTCTTCATTTAACGCCTTTTTTAGAGTGTGTTGATGTTAGAGTGCAGAGACTCTTGTTAAGAATCTGGATGCTACGTTGTTCAGAGTTTACATCAAATTTTGCATTGATAGAATTTTGCTTCATAAGTTTCTTTGGTGAGAGTCTTCTTTGATATATGATATGCTTTGTTATTATTTTTTCATTGGTATGGCTTTCTTCAGACTCTGGTAATTTTATATTTAGCTTTACAAGCTTCTTTGATCAGATTCTGCTTTACTTCAGAATCTATATATTTATGTTTGAGCTTTGTTCAAAATCTTCTTTGTATTAAAGCTTGGTTTTCTCTTCAGAGTTTTGTAAGGGCTTGAACCTGTGTTGATTATATTTTCTTTCTCACGGTTTTCTTTTCATCAGAGTCTGCAACTATCAGAGTTGACTTTTAGACTTAACATTAGAAGTTTCTTGATCAGAATCTTCTTCACTCAACATTTGCTCTTTTCATTTAGATTTTGTTTTAAACTTTCAAGTTTATGCACACTTACAAAATAGTTAGTGCATAAATTTGTTCTTCAACACTTTGTTATCATAAAAGTTTAAAGGTATGTAAATGTAGAACCAAATTTTCTCTTTTAAATTATATTTATAATAATAACTCAACAACCCGCTTGAAAATTATAAATGTTTAGTGAAATGATGGAAAAGAGTCTTATTGTGATGGATTGGATCTCGATTACTACGCTGCTGGGGTGGACTTGCAAGATTAACACCCTAACACCTAAGTCAATAAGATAATGATGAGTAAAGTGAGTCATGTGTGTGTGTGTGTGTGTGTGTGTGTATGTGTGTGTGTGTGTGTGTGTGTGTGTGTGTGTGTGTGTGTGAGTACATCAGGTCTTACATAGAATGTATTATATACAAATGGCGGTTATAAATGTTTCTTTCCATTTCATCATTGAATGTAGGAGGTCATTCGCTGACTTCTAACAGTAGACTACAACCCTTGATGTGGATGCAATGAGGAACTGTAGAGCAGAGTTACACTATACCTTCAATGCTTTGGTGGAGTGGCATGAACTGATGATTAGGCCTCCTCCTTTTAGACCAGAGGTCGGCTCATAATAGTTGTCCATAAGGCTTGCCATAACATAATAATATTAAGTCTTTAAGAAAAATGGGTCAAGCATAACGTGCACAATCCATTTATTGGAGAAGTGGGAAATATTTGGGATTTAGCGTAAGTGACCTTGGAAAGATATGCATTAAATTATAGTCTCATCATTGAAACATCTCACCGGATTGATCTTACATGTTTCCCCAGTTCCTTAGATTAGAGTGTGGTGCTTCCCTCTAGTCAAGTGTACTCAAGTGCAGTTATAATATCAAGGCAAATCCAACCGTTGTTTTTCATTTATCCATTTTATTTTATTTATGAACCCTTATTGCTTTTCCCTAAGCTCTGGTGATTCCTTTTTTATCTGTATTTTTCCTTCTATGATCTTGCATTTTCTTTATTCATCGCACCCTTAAAACTATTCTTTGCTTTAATTATTTCCTCAAGCTTCAGCTCTTTCAGGTACCGTTTCTCCCATTGTTTACTACTTGTTGTTTTTCCCCTCCTTGTTTTAGTCGTGGCTAATATGGGAGACAACTATGGAAATGCTCTATACATATCTAGTCATGCGAGTAACACTTCATCTCACACTAAAATAGTATACCCAAAAACGCCAAATGTCACATTTTTAGAAATTAATCGACCTATTGCAAACCTTATTGTTCCTAGTGACTGTTCTGACTCTGATGGGGGTTCCATCAAAGATGGCAGTGAACCCTCTAGTTCCCATCTTGTCAGAAATAAAAAATAATTATGCTAGTCTTGTTGCTAGGGATGATGGTGTTGGCCTCTATTCTTTGGAGCCTCTTGAGGTCCACCGAGATGAATTAGAAACTTATCTCTTTATTAATGCATTTAGATATGTAAATGGATGATAAAGTAGTATTAGGGAGGTTTAAGATCATCTCAATTTCCAAATCCATTTCTTGATTCATGATAAACATTATCTTTTTCACGACGGTTGAGAAAACATGGTTCTAAAGGATCGTTAAGGTCTTGTCATGCTTGTTGATACTTTTTAGGTAGAAGCGAAGTTAGTGTGAACAATTTCCTTCTTCAACAACACTCAAAACCTAGAAGATAATTACAAATACGTGAGACCGTTCTTTAATTGGTGGTTTTCCTAGGTCGACTTGGGAAAAAGGATATGTAGCTCTTTCGAGGGATGCTTCATACCTTTCTATGAATGTATTCTTTCTAGGCTGAGATTCAAGTTGCCTTTCAACAACTTCGAAGAGGTTATGTTGAACCATTTAAGAATTTCCCCCTCTCAACTACACCCCGTAGCTTGAGCATCAGTTAAAGTGTTCTAGTATTTGTGTGAGTATTGAGGAAAGGTTCTGACCTTGAGGTTATTCTTCAATCTCTTTAACGTGACACACATTTCAGCCAGCGAAGGTCGAGGATAATGTTTGTTCTCACTGTCAACCGTTAAAGATGTTTGACATCTACTTTGAGAGACAAAAAAACTACAAGGACAATTACTTTTTGGTGACCCCCTGGAGTCAAGAGGCTCACTCTTGTTTTTTGCATCCTTCTAAGAGACAAACATTCCATTTCTGCCCCCCATGTTTAAAACTTAAAGATAAGATTCATAAATGCAAGACCTGACACCATTTCTTTTGTGCTTTAAAAACACATGCCTTCGCGTCTGACTATATGACTCCGGAGGAGGAGTCATTGAAAAATGACTTCCCACAAAAGGAGCCAATGTTCAGGTCGACCTTGAGTCTGAGACATTACAGCTACGAGGTATTGTCAATTTTTGAGTGTGAGAATCCTCACGACTTTGTCCTTTAGAAAAGGTTCCTCATTGGGTTGAGGTGTATGTCTGCTGTATATAAATTACCCTTAGCCTCGATTTCCAAGCAATGCAAGACTATTTTGACCAGACTGAAACAACTGCCTCTTAATCAAGGGTAATGGGGACTATGCGAACTTTGAGTTTCCACTAACGATGCCACTCTTCTGCTAGAGAACTAGAAATTCTTAGTGAAATGGTGGAGTGGAGTCTTGATGGTAGAATGGATCTCAAATACAATGGCGCATGAGTGGTCTACAAGATTATCACTCAAACGACCAAGTTAGTAAGAAAATGTGGAGTAAAGTGAATTATGGATAGAAGAAAAAGTACCTCAAGTCTTAGGTTGGATGTCTTATATATGAATGGTTGTTATGGACATTTTCTGTCATTTCGACGTGGAAGCTCTAGAGTTGTGTTACATTGTATCTTCAGTTTTTTGGTAGAATGACTTGGACTGATGATTAAACCTCCTCCTCCTATTGGCCCAATGATCGGCCTCGAACAAAAATATTTAATAAATATAATTTTAAGTTATTTTGAAATAATTATATAATAAAAAAAAACCTATTCTAAACTAGTTTATTATTTTAAAACATAAAACGCTAGTTAAATCTTTGAAACCCCAAGTCAACCTAATTTTTTAAAGAAAGTTAATGTTAACATTACAATTTTCTGTAATTTGTTATAATATTACATTTTTTTTTATTTTCATAAAAGAAATACTACTAGTATACTTTTTAATTATTATACGCCAGTCCTATATTTCTTTTTTTATTTTATTTTAGAAAAACCAATTTTAAATGGTGCATGTTTTGCGCTTACAGTTACCACGAAAGAAGCTTCCATCAACTAACCTATTTAATTCCCATTTAAAAAAAAGAAGAGAGAAACGATAAATACAGTTATTACTTTTGTGAATAATAAATCTAGTTAGTTATTCAAAATTAAAAAACTCCTCAAAAATCGCATAAATACCATATACATGTCTAACTGCAATAACAACTTACAGTTACAAAACCCCTTTCTTTCCTCCTTCCATTCTAACTATATTTCACCACACTTAACTAACCGACGTCCGTTACAACTTCCTCTTCAATTTCCCTTCTATTCAGTTAGTTAAGCCTCCCTGGCCCCACCAAAATCATTTATTTTTATTTTTTCAAATTTCAAAATTATATTCATACCCATCTAGATAAATGATTACTCCTTCCTAACTGCCACCTATAAACTTCAAATCAGATTATTAAATTAATAATTTAATTTAAATTAAAAAAAAAATCTAATTGGTCAAAATATTCCCATAAAAAACGTTATTTTGAGTCAGTTAGATAAAGGTGCGTGGAAGTTATAACTTCCACCATTATTAATCACCCACTTCTTCCTAATCCAATTTCATTAGTATACCCTAAAATCTAATTATTTAATTAATTATTAATATCTATATAAAAACCCACCCATAAACTTCCACCTACCTAAGTCCAAACGAAAAAACACCCAACTCCTTTCATTTAAAAATAGAAAAATAAAAATTAGTAACTCAAGATTCAGAAACCAGAAAGTGAAGAAAACACGTTGGAAATCCAACTCTTCAAGTAGTTACATACACACACAAAAACAGTTTTAACCTTTAAGGTTCATCCAAATTTCCAATTCACATCTTTCAATTACAGTTTTTCTGTTTTTTTATTCATTTTCTTATGATAAAAACAGATTCATAATTTTATGATTTCACAAACATTGCGATTTTCTCTGTGGCATTCACAAACAGGTTGAAGACGAGATTGATTTCAATTTTCAACGATGATTAGCTCGAATTCGAACGGCGATGATGAGAATAACGATAAAGTGAGAGGTTCGTGGAGTCCGCAAGAAGATGACACATTGAGGAGATTGGTGAAAGAATACGGTCCACGAAACTGGTCTGTGATAAGCAACGGAATCCCCGGTCGTTCTGGAAAATCTTGCCGTTTGCGGTGGTGTAATCAGCTGAGTCCCGACGTTCAACATCGCGCTTTCACTCCGGAGGAAGATAACATCATACTTCAAGCGCACGCGGTTCACGGAAACAAATGGGCGACGATTTCTCGTCTTCTACCAGGTCGAACCGACAACGCGATAAAAAACCACTGGAACTCCACGCTCCGCCGTCGTCTCACGGAGGCGCCGCTGACTCCTTCCCCCTTGAGTATCGGGAAGCGTCCTCCAAATGCGTATGACGGTTATAACGATTTGTTAGATCTCCGTTATCCTTACAAACGGCCTTGTCTCGAAAATAACGGTTCACGTGACGGTGAAGAAACGGTTACCGAAGAAGAAGACGCGGGGAATGATGTTGCGGTTATAACCCCGTTAAGTTTGTTTCCACCTGGTGAGAAATTGTTGAAAGAAGAAAAAGAGAAAAAAGAAGAGTTGATTAACAGTAATGTCAAGTTGTTGGGTAATGATAATTTTAGGTCGTTTATTCAGCGCATGATAGCAGAGGAAGTTAGGAATTATATTGATAACATGCGCCTGGATGGGTTTCAACATGGAAATGGGTTTGCTCCTGATTCAACACATCGAAAGTGAAAAAGTTACTGATAATTTTTCTTTTACTTGTTCTATCATGACAATTTCTGATTTTATATATTTTTGAAGTTCCTTTTGATATTTAATTATTTTTTTTTACTATATATTAGTTAACACAGTAATTGTTTTCTGTAGTCCCCTTCGATTTACACGTTTTCTTCCTTCGTTTAGGTTTACGTTTTTTTTTTCATATCTATGTGTGTATGTTTAAGAACCAATTATACGATGCTACATAGATTAAAATTTTCTCTAAAATTAAAGCGGTTATATTTATAATATTATTAAAAACATATTATATTTATTGAATTGTTAAGTTGGATTTTCGTTGAAACAGATGTATTTAAAAAGTTTCTACGATATATAGAGGGCTTGTATTGCAAGCTTGTAGTTCGTTATCCGTAGTTGTACTTTGTATATTAGCATTGTAACCATCTAAGTTTTAAAGGTTCTGGGTAGATATTAGATAGGGTGTGGTGGGGTTTTAGAGACAATATTTCAACCATCTGCTGTTAATCGGTGGGATTTTATTAGCTCTAAGTTCACAACACCAGTTACACCAACCAGTTTGAAGATGGTTTCTTTTGAGACTGAGTTAACTACAACTTGTATCACAATTTTAAGGGGAGATTGAACCCAGCTTCTTGTATGTTCGGTTTCACGGTTAGAGTTCTCAGAGTACAATTAATTATGGTTTAAAACCGACTGTACTTAAGATAAGATTTGTACTTTTTGAATTTAAATGTGATTTTTTTATTGAACTTTACTATTCAATTCATTTTTACAAAAAATTATTTAAACATAAAATTAATTTATTTTTAACTCAATTTTAATTATAATCAATTTTATAAAATCAACTCAATCAGAATCAATATTTTTCAGACTATTCCTTCTTTGCTATTGGAAAAAGAGTTTACAACTTATTTCAATTGATTCAAGAAGAAATTGAACTCGACTCCATGTATACTTTTTTTTATGTGTTTCGTTTTTCTAGCTGTCAATAGAATTGTAGAAACTATAATAGGAATATAGTTATTAATTGTTAATTACTCTGATTTGGTTATAATTATTCTGATTTAGTTATAATTAGAAATAGGATTTTCTGTGTATATAAATATAACCAATTCCCATTTGATACGATTGAAATATATGAAAGTATTATACTAGTTTAACATGGTATCAGCCGCCAGGTCTTAATCCAGACCTACGGTAACGCTTTCCATCCTTCTTCCATGGCCGACTCGGATTCAACCTCCGATGAGACTACCTCATCTTCTATTCTTGCTGAGTTGACGACGAAAATGACGAAAGTTCTGAATCGTGCTTCAGCCCCGTCACAAATTGGCTCTGACCATACGGTGGCACCGATTGACATCAAGTTAGATGGCAGCAACTATCCCCTTTGGTCCCAGGTGGTCGAGATGTATATCTCGGGCAAAGACAAGCTGGGATATATCAACGGAGATCTCCCGCAACCCCCTCAAACAGATCCTATATTTCGACGTTGGCAGACTGACAACGCGATTGTTAAGGGATGGATAATCAACTCAATAGACTCTTCTCTAATCAGCAACTTTATTCGATTCTCCACTGCCAAACTAGTGTGGGATGCAATTGCGACCACGTACTTCGATGGCAGTGATACCTCTCAAGTGTATGACCTTCGGCGACGCGTGACACGTCTTAAACAAGCTGGTGGTTCTCTTGAAAAATATTATAACGATCTCCAAGGACTTTGGCGTGAGATAGATTTTCGTCGTCCAAATTTGATGACATGTCAAGTTGATATCCAACACTACAATACACTTGTCCAAGAAAAACGAGTGTATGTGTTTTTGGATGGACTTGATGACCGCTTGGATAATATCAGAAGCGACATTTTACAAATGAAACTGTTTCCAACAGTGTAGCAAGCATATGCACATGTTAGGAGGGAAGCTCTTCGTCAGGAAGTGATGACAGACAACTCCAATGAATTATCAGGAGCAGGTCTTGCATCCAAGGATCTCAAATTACAGAACAGTAAGATATTTTCTCAATCCAAACATAAAGAACCATCTAATGGCACTAAGTGCTCTCATTGTGGAGGTAACAAACATACTAGTGAGACATGTTTTAAGCTCCATGGCTATCCAGATTGGTGGACAGACTTTCAGGCTCAAAAGCGTCGCGAAACAACTGAGAGCAACCCAGGCAAAGCTGCAGTTGCTACTGCTGAACCACATCTTTCCCTCATTCCGAAATCAAGTTCCCACACCACTGAAGGTAATGTTCTAATTTGCTCTAATCATGATGATGACTCTAACGCATGGATACTTGATTTCGGAGCTACTGATCATATGACGTTTGATGCTGCTGATTTTTCTGAATGTTCAACCCCTCGGCGCTCAAGTATTGCCAACGCAAATGGTGATTTATCGGCGGTATCAGGGGCTGGAACTGTGATGTTATCACCAACCCTTTTGCTTTCAAATACACTACTTGTTCCCTCTCTATCTCATAAGTTGTTGTCTGTGAGCCAAGTTACAAAAGACTTGAACTATGTTGTGCTAATTTATCCATCTTTCTGTTTTCTTCAGGATATTCTCACGAAGGAGATCATTGGGTGTGGTACTAAAAGAGGGGGACTTTACTATATGGAGGATTTTAGTGTAGGCCGAGTGCATGACATGCATTATCCAAGAAATAACAAAATGGAGCAAGTCTTACTTTGGCATCGTCAATTAGGCCATCCTTCGTTTGGCTACTTGAAACATGTGTTCCCAAACTTATTTTCAGATAAATCTTTGTTGAACTTCAAATGTGAAGCTTGTATTTTAGCCAAGAGTCATCGAGTCACTTTTCCATCAAGTATGAATAAAAGTAATGTTTGCTTTAATCCATTCTGATGTATGGGGTCCATCCCCAAAATCGTCTCTCTCTGGTTATTGGTGGTTTGTTACATTTGTTGATGATTGCACTCGAATGACTTGGATTTATTTGTTGAAACAAAAAAAATGAAGTGGTACACATATTTCAACAATTTCATAAAATGATTCAGACTAAATATTCAACAAAGATTAGGATCCTTCGCTCTGATAATGGTGGGGAGTTTGTAAATCACCAATTCCATGAGTATTTCAAAAAACACGGACTTACTCACGAAACCACGTGTCCACAAACTCCACAACAAAATGGTATTGCAGAACGGAAAAATCGCCATATCCTTGAAACTGCTCGTGCTCTTTTACATGGAGCACATGTGCCTCACCACCATTGGACTGATGTTGTTACTACATCATTATATCTCATCAATCGGATGCCATCAAAGGTTCTTGAATTTAAAACTCCGCTGCAGACCTTGTCCACATTTATACCGCTGCCTACAATACAAATGTTGCCACCTCGTGTCTTTGGGTATGTTGCGTTTGTTCACCTACATAAAAAACAGCGTACAAAGCTTGATCTGTGTGCCATTCGCTGCCTGTTTTTGGGATATGGTGTACACCAGAAAGGGTATCGCTGCTATGACCCTACTACTCGACAACTATGGATGTTACATTCTTGGAATTTGACCATTTCTACTCCTCGGCAACACCCAATTCTTCTCTTCAGGGGGGAGACACCAGAAGAAGAGTCGAATTGGTCGACATTTGACTGGTTCAAAGATATTGATATACCATCAACTGAAGTGGTTGGTGATTCGTGTCAAACTCAAACAGACCATATGAGTCCTGAAGTTGAAGTATCAGAATCCCTCCCCCCCTCTCCAGTACTCAACGATCCATCTCCTGAGAATATCATTGAGGTAAGCTCTCCTATATCTCCTGATAATAATAATAATAGTGATATCTCTGTTAGCTATGAATTACCTCACATGCATAATCGGGGAAAACCACCGAAGCGTTACTCTCCTGAAGAAGAGGATCATCGATCGAGGTATCCAATTGCTAATTATGTCTCTATGAAGGAATTATCTGAACCCCTTAAGAAATTTGCAAATGAACTATCTTCACACAGTGTACCTAGCAACGTTGAAGAGGCCATTGAAGACACTAGATGGGTTCAAGCTATGAATGAAGAAATGGAGGCATTAAACAAGAATGCGACATGGACCCTTGTCCCTTTACCAAAAGGAAAGAAACCAGTAGGGTGTATGTGGGTTTTCTCTATCAAGTACAAAGATGATGGGTCAATTGAAAGGTACAAAGCAAGACTAGTAGCTAAAGGCTTTACACAAACATATGGCGTAGACTATCAAGAAACCTTTTCTCCTGTTGCCAAGTTGAGCACTGTCAGAGTTCTTTTATCTCTTGCAGTAAATCTTGATTGGCCATTGCATCAGTTAGACATGAAAAACGCCTTTCTCCATGGGCACTTGAAAGAAGAAATATATATATGGATATCCCTCCGGGGTACATGACAAACTATGAGACTAAAGTGGTGTGCAAATTGCAACGCAGTTTGTATGGCTTGAAGCAATCTCCTAGAGCGTGGTTTGGGAGATTGAACTTGGCAATGAAAAAATATGGATTCCAACAAATCAACGCATATCATATGTTGTTTTTGAAACACAGTCAAGGTAAGGTTACAACTTTGATTGTGTATGTAGATGACATGATTATTACAGGAGATGACTCTGAGGAAATAGCAAAACTTCAAAAACATCTTGCAACCGAATTTGAGATGAAAAATCTAGGTAGACTCAAATATTTTATAGGTATTGAAGTTGCTAGGTCAAATAAAGGCATCTTTTTATCTCAACGAAAATATATCTTATATCTTTTGTCAGAAGTTGGGATACTAGATTGTAAACCTGTAGATACTCCAATTGTCCAGAACCACCAACTTGGAGAATATCCAGACCAAGTGCCAACAAACAAAGGAAGGTACCAGAGATTGGTTGGCAAACTTATTTACTTATCCCATACACGACCTGATATAACGTATGCGGTAAGTGTAGTAAGCCAATTTATGCACAACCCGAGTAAAGATCACATGGACGCGGTAATTCGAATCATGCG